AGAGCTCAGGGCACGGCCTGGAGGAAGAGCTCAGGGCACGGCCTGGAGGAGGAGCTGAGGGCGCTGGCTGGGGAAGAGCTGAGGGCACGGCCTGGAGGAAGAGCTGAGGGCACAGCCTGGAGGAAGAGCTTTCCGTGATGCGTGCTGAGCAAAGAAGGGCGTGGAAGGGCCTGAGAGCAGAGGCTGCTTCTGCTGGTTCTTCTCTGCATCCGTACTCCTCCCCAGTCACCCAGCCTAGGAGACCTTGGCTTTCCAGTTAGCCATGCTGGTGTAAGAGATGGGATTCGGTTTTCAGAATAATATAAATTGAAAGCTAATGTTCTGACTATAGACCGAGTAACAGATGTGTTCTTTAATTCACATTACTGATGGAAAATAAACCAAGATCCAAGAGGTGTAAAGGCTTTGCATACATACACGGATGTTAAAAAATGATGACTTTGGGAGAAAAAAACAGGGTCTGCAGCCATATGAGGTGTGATCTGAAAGCCTTGTTGATAGAGCAGCTACTCACCACCCGACTAGATCGCAGTGAGAGGTCTCCTTGCAAGAGATGCATCTAGAATAGTGAAGCAGATGAAAGAGGATGCTAGTGAGCTTCCCGCTCTGGCCAGCAGATTCAAGGAAACAAAGCAGTCCTTGGAAGTTTGGGCCAATTTAGAACTTGCTGAAATGCAGCAAGGACTTGAGCTGTAAGGGCTAGGAAGAAGATGGAAGGATTGGAAATTGCTGAGGAAGTAATCTGTGTTGGTGTGCAGCAGGGCTAGCTGGAGACCTAGGGAAAGCATGGACATGAACAACAGCTTTCCACGGTTATTTGTTATGCATAGAGAGAAGCAGCTGAGTATCTTTAGTCAAATAATGTGACAGCTCAGTAGTTTAGAGAGGAATACTCTGGGAGAAGAAGTTTCCTCATAACTCATACAAAAGTTCTGTATGGATAGGTAGAAAGATGAACTTTGTCGGCTGGCTTGAACTCTCAGTCTCTGAGAAGACATTTCAGTTTACAGAGGAGCTGAGGATATACAGAACAGGCCAACTTTGTCTTCCCCTCTGTTTTGCTACCTGTAGAGAAATCGAAATTCTCTGTTCCTGTCAGAGAAGGAGGTTTGGTTCTGTGGGGTTGAAGAACCACTGCAATAGATGGGGAAGGTGAAACTGTGCCAGTGGACTGCGGAGTGGAAAAGGCCCAAGTGGCTGTTTCTGGGCCTCTTTCAAACCTGCTAGAGAGATGAGGAGATACGGTTCAATACAAGGGTGTAGAAGACTTGAGAGAGAGATGGCTTATTGAAGTGAAACTAAGTTTTCCTGATTGGGGCGACTGTTCTAAATGAAAGAAACTCTTGTAAGTGGCTGTGGCTACAAACATCCATAACTGTACACAAAAACATAGGGTGTTGTTTATGTAGCTCAGCATCTTGGCCATGACTGCTAGCAGAAGCGTGCAGTGTATGCTTGGCTTCTGGCCATCTGCAATTTAGGTACTTCCTGAGTCGAGCTCATTGTTGTGATTCCCAGCCCCAATGAAATTTTCTTCCTTAAGCTCAGCTTAAGTACTTGATGAACCCATTTATATTTTTGGTGTGCAATGAGTTCTGCAGTTGAAGAACCACATTGTGCAAACCAGTACTTCCTTCTCCACTCTGTTCATTGCTTATCATCCTGTGCATCTCTCATCATGTCTTGCCTTGGCTGTTCCACTCTAAGGTCATGTCCCCTTCTGTGGTATCCTCATTCTGCCATCCTTCTTGCCCTTCTCTTTCTTTTCTACTTCTGCTGTATCCGTTTGGAGAAGGAGGGACCAAGCTTGCATCCGGTGTTCAAGCTGTGAGCGTCCCATGGATTTATACACCTTTATAGTATGACTCCTGTTTGTTTTTCTTTAACTTTTTAGTGTTGTTTCCTCTTGTGAGCTGGGCCACTACAAAAGGGAAGGATTCCTTCGCTTTCCACCCCACCCCCATTGCGGTGTTTTACTTTGCATTTATCAAATACTGCTTTCACTGCCATTTAATTCAGTCATTTAATATTATAAAAATCTCCCGCAGTACCTTCCTGCTAGTTTTTGTTTTTACAGTCCTGAATGATTTTTTCTCACCAGGAAACTTAGCATGTACCCAGGAAGACTGCATCATCTGTCCCTTTATGCGTATGTCGGGGGGTTACTCCTCAGTCTCACCTTTGTGCACACAAGTTCTGGTCATCGCTGTAGTTTCGTGCAATTTTCTCGGTACAAAAATTGGACTTGGTGGTTTATAGTTTGTTGGATTATCTCCACGGCCTTTTTAGAGATTGGTATCAGACTTGCCATCCTTATTTCTTTGATACTGAGACTATTTTGATGAGCAGGTTGCACATCACAGTTCATAGTTTAGCATCTTCATCCTTCCACTGATAAAAATCTCTTGGGTGAAGGCCATCTGATCCTGGTGATGAATTTTATGCATTTCATTTCACATCTTTTACTAACACTTCACTGTGAAACAGTTGTCTTCACTTGTGCCCCAGCAGCAAAGGTTCTTGTCTGGGAACATCTCCAATATCCCATGTAGGGATGCAAAGAATTAATTTGTCTTTCCTCCTATAGCCTTCTCCTTTGAGGCTTTTGTATGTTGCGCTCATCTGTTGACCTCAGACTGACCAGCAGATTTTCTGTTTCTGGTGTGCTGGGAGAAGTTGTATTCATTTATTTTGGGGATGAAGTTTCAGGTTAGGAATGATCACGCATAAAATTGTACCTTAAGTTGAGGGATGGTTTGCTGGGTGCTAATCCGCAGTCAAACAGACCTGTGGTGCTTCTGTCCAAGTGGTCTTTTTTGTACAGCCTGCTCCTCATAACAAACTCTGCTGAAGATAGCAGGGGAAAAAGAAGCAGCACAGTTAGAAAGAGAAAGCTGCCTCTTCCTTGCCTATAAATTTCAGAAATGTAAGCCACTCTTGGATAATGTACTTACTGGAATAATGGATGTAGAATTGCAGAAATGGACTTCAGGGCAATAAAACCTTTCCCCAGTGACTGAGATAGCAAAAATATTTGTGT